GCTGAGAGTAATGCCATCCTTCCAGTTGCTCAAGCTAAGAAACTCAGAATACTCCTCTTATCCTTTCTCTCATACCCTACATTCCAATCCACCAGGAATTCTGTAGTGTATATCTTCAAAACAGATCCAAATCAGATATATTCCAACACAAAATAAAAAAGTTTAGAGTCTGAGGGGACTCAAAAGGGGGAAAAAACAAAGAAAACAAAACAGATCCATAATTTGACACTTCTGACTATCTCCACTGTCCTAACTCAAGATATTACCTCCTCTTGCCTGGATTACTCCAATAGCAGATCTTCCTGCTGCTCCTCACCCCCACCTATAGTCTATCTTCAATGCAGTAGCCAGAATAATCTGTATTTTTATAGCATAAGTTATACTGTTATCATTTCTTGCCTCAACAAAATATTCCATTGCTACCCAAAGTCAAAGTCCTTCCAAGGGTCTGCCAAGCCCTAGAAGGTTTGCCTCCACCCCACCCCTTACCTCCATGATGTTATCTCCTACTGTTTTCTCTCCTTCACTCACCTCAGTCATGCTGGCTTCCTGGTTATTCCAGGCAGATTCCACCCTGAGGCCCTGTCACTGGCTATGCTTTTTGCCTGACATGCTTTTGCCCAGATATTCATGTGGTCTCATCACTTTCAAGTCTTTGCTCACATGTAACCACTAGATTAAAAATCACAACCCCTACTCAACATTCCTGGTTTTCCACTTAGTACTTCTGACGTTTTTATCTACAGCACTTACACACCCTTCTAGCATGCTATAAAAATACTTGTTCATTCTTTATTAGCTGTCTCCCCTCACTAGAATGGAATTATTTGCTGGAAAAATCCCACGTTCTAGGAATAGTATAGTAGGTATTAATATATATTTGTTGAAACTGAATTACCATGTTCACCAGTGATCCAAAGGAAACATTCCGAGTTCCACCCGTGTAGACACCCCTGTAATCCTAACACGGTGCCCCCATACGTCTCCCCAAACCTCTCTTTCCTCCCTTAATTTTCCTTCCATCTTTCTCTACTCCTGTTTCCAGGTCTTTCTTTCTTTAAACAGTGATGGCTCTCAATCTTCCTTTCTCCCCAGTCTTCACATTCTCCCTAAACAAGCTCATCTACTCGAGGTTTCGACCACCACCTGAATGTGACCTAAAACTTACCCCTCCAGACAGACCTCTCTCCAGCTTCAGACCCATGTAAAGCATCTGGTTACCAGATAATCTGAAACTCAGTAAGTCCAAACCCGCTCCTCTTCCCAAGCTCCCTTTCTCAGTGAGCACCACACACCCAGGTGTCCAAACCAGAGACCCAGGAGTCATCCTAGATCTCCCCCTCTCACCCTCCACATCCAATACCTTTGTTTCCCCTCCCAGCACCATCTCTGGTCACTTCTTCCTTGAACTACCATCAAAGGCTGCTCACTCTTTCTGCTTCTAAACTCGCCCCTCCAGCCCTTTCCAGCCTCAGTGTGATCATTCAGGTTGCTTCCTGCCCTTTGGCCATCTATGGAGGAAAACTAACTCCTGCAGGCAGGAGTCCCAGTCCCTCTCACACCACAGCCCTCCCACTGTCCACTCACAGTCCTGAACTCATGCCTGCATCCTCCTCTGAACATGCACGCCTGTGCAGGCTTCCAAGTCTGTGCACATGCTTTTCCCTCACCCTGCCTCTCTCTCTTCAGACATCATGTTCTTCAAATTTCAGGTGCCATGTCCTCCTAAAGCCTTGACTAATTCTTCCAAGCAACCCAGAGCATTCCACTCATTCTTCAGCCACATTATGTACATGACTCCACCATTACCAATTACCTTGTGGGCTTGTATTGATGATTATAATAAACCCTCCCTTTGACCTCCCATGGTAGTTGTGCAAGAGTCAAGTCATAAAAGGAGAAAGGGCTTGGTAAGCTGTAAAACCTCAAACAGCTCTTAGTCATGGAGGGAGGCAGGAGTCAATCGTGAGAGATACATGGAAACAATTACAATACAAATAAAGAGATTATTACTACCATGGAGCTTCAGATATGAAAACTGAGGTTCAAAGACCCTTCAATCTTAAACAGGAAGCAACAAACTAGAATCTAAGCATCCTGACAACCATGGAACATTAGCCAGGGTTCAAGTGCAGAAAACAGAAATCACTCTTGCTTGTTAAGGAAACGTGTTGTAACATAGGGGATTCAGTGCTTACAGAATGGATCATGGAAAGAGTGTGAGAAGAGCTCTAAGCCAGGCCATCAGAAATAGCAATCAGAACCGGCCCATCAGGGGAGTTGCCACCTCTGCCATAATCAGGATGGCAGAGAATCAAATCTCAACACATAGAATCATTGAAATCAAGAGCCCACTGCCATGACTCCAGTTTCAAAATCTGGGAGGCACTACCAGCCCACCAACACCCATGGAGCTAGTGACCGGTCATGAAGTCATGACTGCAGGAACACTCACAGCTGGGATCACCCTGGTCACCAGCAAGGGCCAGTGCAGCATGAAAATGACCTCCCTTCACTTCTGCCTCCACATACTACATTAGACCATCTAGTGGTGGAAATGAATGTAAATCTAGAATCCTAGGAACAGGGGAACCTGGGAAATGGTGTTTTTAACTTCACAGTCTCTCAGGCACAGGAAGATACACATGAGCTTCAGATGGACACCAAGAGGCAGCCCACGGCATCTCCCACACAGCACAAAGGAAATCACACATCTTCTTATGGAAAAGTTCCTCTCAGGAGAGACAGTGTTTGCTCATTGGTCGGTTGTTTGTTTTCAAACAAAGACCCAAAGGGCATTTTAGTTCCTAGGGAAAGAAAGTTTTTCCTCATACAAACTGCTGAGGGAAATTTCTCACATGGGAGTATTCCATGGAGGACACTGCATGAACCAATGTACAGTGTCTTCACCAGAAACCTCACAGCAGATACAGAGGAGGCATTCATGTGCTGGTCCTTAAGTTACCTTTGCTAAAATCAAAGGTATGACATGGACATGGAATCAGGGGCCTCACTTGTCCACAGAGCTGTCACTAGACTGTCTGACCCTCAGGCTGGTCACTTTCAAAGTGTGCTCCAGAGTTTGCAGGTTCACAGAGGAGCCTGGGGTCTCTCAGTCCCCCCTCCCAGAAGAGCCAGAGTTTTATCTGTCCTATCTCAAGTCCACATAAAATTCCCTTGGAAGAAAAGGGTTTAATTGCTTTTAAAATTTTCTGAAAATTAATCTTTGCTCATCTCTCATAGAAGTTACTCCTTACAACCAGTTTGTGATAGGAGCCAAACTGCAGACAATGTGAAAACTGACACTGGCCCACACAAAACCAGAATTCTGTTCAGCTGACCAAGACGGATTCAAAAGCTTTCGAGAGGCTCACGAGGGCCAATTCTGGGGTGGCCTTTCCCAGATGCCAAAGTCTGTGTGTTTTTCTTCACCACTGCCCGCAGAACCCAGGTCCAGGCTAGGACCATGACACAAAATAAACTGTAGAATCTCCGGGTACAGCAGGAACTTGGAGGTCCTCCAGCCCAATACCCTCACTTGACAGGTGAGAAAACTGAGGTCTAGAGGGAGGAAGGGACTGGTGAGCCACAGAGCCGGGTGCTCCCTCCCCCACCCAACTCCGTTTTGTGGGCACTTACACCTATCTGCTCCTGCCAGTTCTATATTTAATCAATGTCTTGCCTGCATCTGCAACTCCGTTAGAATAAAAATGCACACCTCACAATGCTAGCAGTGTTCTCCTGCAGGGCGCTGAGCATTTACTAGAGATTAGCGATTCCAAGAAAACTGTGGCAAATAAACATCTCCATCAATCATACAAGCAGCTGTCTGAATGACTCTGATAAAACGTCTCCGGCTACCTTTTGCCTTTCCAGAAAAGGGTCTACCACCTTTGTTTCTCTCCCCGCTTCTTAGGCAGACCTCCTGGTCTCTATTCCCAAAACAGAGCCTGCCAGATGAGGTTCAGCTGTCAACCTATCCAGCAAAAACAGCTGAATCTGGTTCAGCAGGAAGAGGAACAACAGTCCCCGGTGAAGCAAAGCCCAGGCACAGCCTGGATCTTTCCACTTAGGCCAAGATCTGCCTTCCATTTCTTCAACTGACTGGTAGCTAGAGGCCGAGTCAGGATGTAGGCGCAGGGTTGGAAGGCACTTTCTGAAAGGCCCAGGAGACCAGAAGAGGAGAGCCTGCTAGAGGAGTCCCATCAGTTGAGGGCCTTCACTCTCCTCCTCACCAGTCACGGCTTGTATTCGGCCAAACGAAATCAGTCACTTTGGGTGGAATGCCTTTGAAGCTGAACTGTTCTCCCCTCACCAGGCTTTCTTCTCTAGCCTTGCTGGCTTCTTCCACAGTCCCACCAGCCTCCCATCTCAGAGGCCTAACCTCAGTCAAGTCCTGTTGACCCTTCCTACATGATGGCTTTCATGTATGTCCCCTGGGGTGCCATCCTGGTCTCTCGCACCATCCTCTCCGGCCTGGAACCTACAGGGGCCTCCAAAAGGGGTCCCTCCAGTTGATCTCTCCTAATCCTCTCTCACACAAATGGCCACATTCTCTTCCTCACACTCCTTTTGCATGTGATCCTTGCTCATCAACTTGCAATGCTGCCCAAGGTAATGAGCTACGACTTCAAGGCCCCCCGTGACTGGGCTGCCAACCAAACTTCCAGAATCGTGTCCCCATTATGGGCATACTTGCACGGGTGTGTATACACACACACACATATGCAGAGGTTTTGATTAAGCCAGAATGACGTCCCCACTGTTCCTAGGAAATGTTCCATGGATTCCTGTCATTGTGCCATTGTTCCCACCACTTCCCCAACCTGGCACTCCCTCCCCCATAATGTGAACTGAGTCCCTCTCATCCTTTCCACCTTCCCTCCTCCTTCCGCCGTCCAGGTCCGCAGAGAGCCGTGCCCATCCTGACTGCACACCCCATTTGCCCTGTGGACCAGCCATACTAACACAGCCTGCAAACGACTGACAAGTTAGGGCATATGTCATTACTGCCGTTTAGCAGGAGCAGAGCCCGCACGCAAAGGGCGGAAAGAGCCATCTCCCCAAGTCCACACAACAGCGGGCAGCTGCGGCACAACTCGCCTGGGTCCCCAGCCCAGTCCAGCCCTCTGCTGGGACCCCTGCAAAGCCGGAGGCAGAAGAGCTGGAAGGAGGAGGAAGAGGTAGGGGGAGGGGAGGACGGACCATGGATGTGGAGGGTGGGGGAGAAGCAGTGAGTAATGGTCGGCTCCCCCAGTCATTCCAGAAAAGGGTCTACCACCTTTGTTTCTCTCCCCGCTTCTTAGGCAGACCTCCTGGTCTCTATTCCCAAAACAGAGCCTGCCAGATGAGGTTCAGCTGTCAACCTATCCAGCAAAAACAGCTGAATCTGGTTCAGCAGGAAGAGGAACAACAGTCCCCGGTGAAGCAAAGCCCAGGCACAGCCTGGATCTTTCCACTTAGGCCAAGATCTGCCTTCCATTTCTTCAACTGACTGGTAGCTAGAGGCCGAGTCAGGATGTAGGCGCAGGGTTGGAAGGCACTTTCTGAAAGGCCCAGGAGACCAGAAGAGGAGAGCCTGCTAGAGGAGTCCCATCAGTTGAGGGCCTTCACTCTCCTCCTCACCAGTCACGGCTTGTATTCGGCCAAACGAAATCAGTCACTTTGGGTGGAATGCCTTTGAAGCTGAACTGTTCTCCCCTCACCAGGCTTTCTTCTCTAGCCTTGCTGGCTTCTTCCACAGTCCCACCAGCCTCCCATCTCAGAGGCCTAACCTCAGTCAAGTCCTGTTGACCCTTCCTACATGATGGCTTTCATGTATGTCCCCTGGGGTGCCATCCTGGTCTCTCGCACCATCCTCTCCGGCCTGGAACCTACAGGGGCCTCCAAAAGGGGTCCCTCCAGTTGATCTCTCCTAATCCTCTCTCACACAAATGGCCACATTCTCTTCCTCACACTCCTTTTGCATGTGATCCTTGCTCATCAACTTGCAATGCTGCCCAAGGTAATGAGCTACGACTTCAAGGCCCCCCGTGACTGGGCTGCCAACCAAACTTCCAGAATCGTGTCCCCATTATGGGCATACTTGCACGGGTGTGTATACACACACACACATATGCAGAGCTTTTGATTAAGCCAGAATGACGTCCCCACTGTTCCTAGGAAATGTTCCATGGATTCCTGTCATTGTGCCATTGTTCCCACCACTTCCCCAACCTGGCACTCCCTCCCCCATAATGTGAACTGAGTCCCTCTCATCCTTTCCACCTTCCCTCCTCCTTCCGCCGTCCAGGTCCGCAGAGAGCCGTGCCCATCCTGACTGCACACCCCATTTGCCCTGTGGACCAGCCATACTAACACAGCCTGCAAACAACTGACAAGTTAGGGCATATGTCATTACTGCCGTTTAGCAGGAGCAGAGCCCGCACGCAAAGGGCGGAAAGAGCCATCTCCCCAAGTCCACACAACAGCGGGCAGCTGCGGCACAACTCGCCTGGGTCCCCAGCCCAGTCCAGCCCTCTGCTGGGACCCCTGCAAAGCCGGAGGCAGAAGAGCTGGAAGGAGGAGGAAGAGGTAGGGGGAGGGGAGGACGGACCATGGATGTGGAGGGTGGGGGAGAAGCAGTGAGTAATGGTCGGCTCCCCCAGTCGGCCAGAAAAAAATAGGGCAAGCTCAGTTTGCGGAGCACCCAGCACAGCACCCGCCACGTGACCAGCCAGGGGCGAGACCGCACCGGGGGCCGCTTCCTATAAACAAGCCCGTTGCCTTGTGGTAAAAACACGAGGGGGCAGTGTTTCTGGTTTCCTGGAAGGCAGCCCGGAGGCCACTGCCATTTTTGCATCTTTCTGCGTTATCACACTGACTTGGGGGAGTTGGACACAGTTTGTTGGGCTGTATAGGAAAACACAGTAGCCAAGCCTTCCAAACAGGGCGCTTTTGTCCACAGCTGACACCCTGGCTGGGAGCCCAGCTCGGCCTCAGGGAAGATTTAGGTCAGAAGGAAAATGGGGGCGGGGGGTGGCTGCAGCCTTAATATCTGGCCTAGCGCAAGATGGAGACGGTTCCCACGGTCACACCTGTGCCCCTCCGGCAGGCGCAGGGGGTGGCTGGCCTTTCCTCAGCCAGTACTGCGGACTCTAGGAGGAGATGTGGGTAGGCCTCATCAGCCCTGCAAAAGAGCTCTTTGGCAAAGTCCCACTGTGCTGGAAATTCCCCGTTTTGCCATTTCGTTCAGTTGTCACCACTTCCCAAGTCAGCTTAAGTCAGAAGCTCTTCCCTTACCTGTTTGGAGTGTGCAGACCTGTGAGAAGGAGGAACTGTGACCCAAGAGAAGCTTCCAGTCAGCTGGGGAGGTGGCCAGGGAGCCGGGAACCATTTCCAAAGCAAATGAACTTCAAGAGGCAAAAAAGCATGTCGTCCTGAGTCACGGGGAGTTTGAGGGCTGTGCCTGCTTTATGGGAAGTTCATTTTCCACAGTGTTTTTTCCCCATTCAAAGGGGAGTTTTGGAGGACCTGCCCTTTAACCACTTGCTGCCATGTTCCCCCTGAAATACCCTTTCAAAAAGGTTCCTCTTCACGGGGATCAGCCCGAGAACCTATCCCAAAGTGCTTGTCACCCATGCGCATTTGTAGGGTTGGCAAATAGGCTTCAGGTGCCAGCATCTTCTGTTAAAAATAGGGTCACCTGCGCAGGCCCGGCGCCTGGCTGCCTTGCGAAGCTCGCTTGCTGGCCTCGCCCGCCATCTTCTGGACGAAGGTAGAACTGCTGCCAGCGAGAGGCTATTTGGACAGAAGATGCTCCGGCGGAGGCTTCCAGGGCAAACTTGAAAACTAACCAAGGAGGGCCCATGAAAAAGAACTCCTGTTGAATTCCCAGAACACTGTCACGGACTTCATTTTCAACAGCAAGGATGCGTGTAAAGATACATCCCTTTGTTGTTTTAAATTATTCCCAGTGTGTCTTGCCTCACTGATCACCAAACAAGCATGCATTTGAACCCCGGCTATGAGCCAGAGGCCATACTATGTGCAGGGGGCAGATGAATCACACAGTCCCTGTTTTAAAAGAAAGCCTGGAGTCTTTTTGTAGGAATCTAAAACTTCTCCTTAAAATGCAATTTAAAAAATAAAAAGTCTGGAGTCTCTTTGGACGAACCAAAAATTTCTCTAGAAGATTAACTTTAAAAAAAAAAAAAAAAAAACACCTAAAGTCTGAGAGGTACAGAAACCTGTGAGGCAAGGGTAACATTGCAATGTGATCAGTGCCACGAGGGGGTGTCCCACATGCCATCAGGCCTGGGAAGGAGGAAGTCTGCCTGGGGCAGAAAGGGAAAGTGTCCAAGGGGAACAGAGAAGGTGACATTTGACTGGTGGTGAGCAGCCAAAAAGGGAGGCCAGGGAAAGCTCAAGTTAGTCTCAGAGTCACCAGCCACTCCCCTGCTTCCTCCCCGGTCCACAGTGGCCAGCAACATTGTTAGCAGATGGGAACATTGTTAGCAACTGGTCACTGGGAACCTTGGCAGGTGTTGAACTTGGGTGGGAACCTTGGAGACTCTAGAGAAGGTGGAGAGGTGAAAGGTTATGGGATCTTTTTGAAGATGATTTGGGGGAGGGGGGTGCTGCAGAACCAGTGGTTCAGCCCGCAGGTGTGGGAGAGACAGTAAATGCTGTGGCCAAGAGGAAGTAAAACGCCAGACTTTGGAGTCAAAGGAAAGTGGGTTTTGATCTCAACTTGGCTGCATCACAGCTGTGTGACGTGGGCAAACCACTTAACTTCTCTGAGCTGCGGTTTCTTCACGCATAAACAGGAGTGATGATAACAGTCCTTGCTGGGGGGCGTTAAATGAGGCAATGCCTGTGGAGCCCTAGCCCAAGNCTTGGCTGCATCACAGCTGTGTGACGTGGGCAAACCACTTAACTTCTCTGAGCTGCGGTTTCTTCACGCATAAACAGGAGTGATGATAACAGTCCTTGCTGGGGGGCGTTAAATGAGGCAATGCCTGTGGAGCCCTAGCCCAAGGCCTGTCTGACTGGCTGTGGAGGCCTCGGGGCATGATACGGGGGACCCAGTTTGGGTCTTCTGTAGAGCTCTGTGTCCACTTGTTCCCAGAGGCACCCACACATCTCAGGCATCTTCCAAATAGGGTTGGCAAACCTCATGAGATATGCTAAAACACGATTACTTGTTTAGCTTTGTTGTTCAGTCGCTAAGTTGTGTCCAGCTCTTTGTGACCCCATGCACTGCAGCAGCACACCCAGCTCCTCTGTCCTCCACTATCTCCTGGAGTTTGCTCAAACTCGTCCACTGAGTCAATGATTTTATTTAACCATCTCATCCTCTGCCACCGCTTTCTCCTCCTGCCCTCAGTCTTTCCCAGCATCAGGGTATTTTCCAGTGAGTTGGCTCTTCACATCAGATGGCCAAAGTATTAGAGCTTTGCCATCAGTCCTAGCTGGTCCTCCTGTATTTTTAGTGGCTAAATCTGGCAAACCTACTTCCAATCCCCCTGTGGGATGAGCCAAGGCAGTAGCCACGATAGATAATGGAAGTAGTTTGATGCTGCTATGGAAACCCCTGGAAGCTGCTGGGAACTCAGGCACACCAGAGTCAGAGATTTTCAGGCAACTTCTGCAGGTCAAAGCTCATTTCAGCCCACCCTCTAATAATGACCCAGCATCCCTAAGGTGGGGTTCCTTGAGTTTTGTAGGCAGTTAGTTCTAAGAGCAGGAAACACGGGGCACACAAGGCAAAGTGAGTCTAGATCAAATAAATTTGCAGGTTAAACAGGTTCCTTCAAGGCTAGATCTTTATTATGCTGATGTGAACTGGGAGTTTCTAGAAGGGGAGGGGGAGAAGGTTTGCAGTGCTTCCCAGGACCAGATGGGACTTGATCTTCACATGCATGCCTTAGTCTTGGCTTTCCAGGAAATGCTGCTCAAAGATGACACTTGAAAGCAAACATTACATCAAAAACTCCTGTAAACCACAGGTGAGACACAGGTGCTAAGCAGTCCCTGTCAGAGTGAACCGTTTTTGATCCTGCCAGCAATGCAAGTGGCTGCTCACCAGCAGAGACACCACAGCCATGGCCCACGTGTGGGTTTTTAGGGAGGCTCCCACTGTGAATGCTGGGGTTTTAAGCTGATGGGGTTTTTGTCATCTTGTGGCACAGCGCAGAATTTTCAAAGGCCTTCCCCAAACTCCCAGCCATCGTTCCCGTTATTCTGCTTCTGCACCTAAAATTCCATCGTCAGCATGTGGAGGCCTTGACACTACTTCAAGTGTAAATATGCTCCTGAGCCTCCGTCAGCCACCAGCACAAGGTGTGAGTCAGTAGATGTGACCCCTCTCGAGTGGCAGGTGGCACCCTTGTTTTCTGGACTGGGCAGTTACTCTGAGGCTCAGAGCAGGTACACGAGCTGGGGGCGGGGGGCGGGAGGGAGCCGACCTGAGCCGTCAGACGGGAGCCAGGGCCCTGCTCGGGCCAGCAGAGAAGAAACACAATCTAAGCTCCTCCAGAATTTGCCAAGCCCACGGCTTACCTGGAACCCTGTAAAAATCTAAACAATGGCCTGAAATGATATCTCCTCACTCACAGCGAAAGGCTGTTAATCCTTTCCCACAGGTTTGACTCCCCTCTGGCGACTTCTGTCCATCCAGAGGCCTCTAGTCCCTATGAGATGACCTAGCATTTATAGGCACAGGTCACACTCAGGGCCAGGCCTGCTCTAACCTAGCCCCCCAGTTCTGGAAACCCAGCCACCTGCTACCCCAGGTCCAAGACCTCAGTGCTTTGGTCCTGCCCCGTCACCTTATTTCCCAAGCCCAGAATTTTATTCCCTGCCACACTCACCCCTTCTTCTTTTTTTTTTATTAGTTGGAGGCTAATTACTTTACAATATTGTAGTGGTTTTTGTCATACATTGACATGAATCAGCCATGGATATGCATGTATTCCCCATCCCGATCCCCCCTCCCACCTCCCTCTCCACCCGATCCCTCTGGGTCTTCCCAGTGCACCAGGTCCGAGCACTTGTCTCATGCATCCAACCTGAGCTGACTCACCCCTTCTTGTATCTTAATTTTCTGCCTTGTGCTCGCTTCGGCAGCACATATACTAAAATTTTCTGCCTGTCACTCCACTTTGGGCCCTGCAGCCCTGTAGACTTTCACCCCCGAAAGGATTAGGGGTTGTACCCCAGGGCCCAGGACAAAGTCAGATGCTGCTATAATAGTTCTCCTATGCCTCCTCCTACTGGATGGCTCTTGACTCCTTCCTGCTAGAGGTCCCCATGGACAAAGACCCACCCTCCACCAATGGCTCCTTCCTTTGGGGGTCTCATTCCCACGGTTCTGTTTATAATCAGTTGATGAATATTCCTGTGTATGACATATTCCACCCCACCTTACTCTCCGCTCTGGAACACAGACTCCACAGCCAGTTCTGGAGATCTAGGTTGCCATCAGGAGTTCTTTCAAGCCAGAATCCCTCCCAGGGGGCTTGTGGATTTAGCTTTTCCGGGGTGACCTGAGAATTCTGCAAATGACAGAAGGGGCAAGAACCTCGGGAAAAACTCCTAGGCTGAAAGCTGCCCCGTAAGGATAAGCTGGACCACAAGGGGGCAGTGTCGGCCAACAGTGCTTCACTGAATTAAGGTCGCCTTCCTCTTGTAGCTGTGAGGGAAGGATGGAACGTTCTTTACAGGAATAAGTTTATGTTAAGTTACATGAAATGAAAAAGGAATGTCTGATGAAACACTCAAGGCTTTTGGGGGGCTACTTCAGCGTTAGCAGAGGGGAGATATTCCATACCTCATTCAGGACATTCTAGAATACCAGCTCAGGGCAAGTGTAATAGCAGCTGTACCATCTAGCTCCCAGCTCACCTGTGGTAATGTGGGAACAAGGGTAACAGGCCTGCATGAAGCAGGGCAGGTTTCATGGCCCCAGTGCTTATGTGCAGAAACTGCGTTCCTGGAGGGTTCCATAACTTGCCAGGGTCTTGGCTTAGCCAATGGCAGAGCTGGACCCAGGACCCCAGGACCTCAATCCCTGGGTCAGAACATTTTCCACGGTGCTCCACTGGGCCCTTCCTGCCACCCCAGAGGAGTTATTCAGAAATTGGTGCTGAAAGCCCCTGAGGCCCAAGCTGGAGGGTCTCCATGCCCCATTTCCAGTTCTGAACGATGCAAGTCTAGAATTTCACCCTTATGCCAACTCTTCATTGGAGTAGGCCTCCCATCAGGAGCTTCCACCTGGTTAGAGGATAAGGGACCTGTATTCAGGCTTCCACCGGTGGGCTTTGCTTCAGTAAGTCCAGTATATAAACGGCCATTGGATTTATAGAAATTATAGATTGGGGGGAAGCAGCTTTGTGAAATGATACATATAATTCTTTTAGGTAGCAAGGTTCCCACACCCATCACTGTACTTCCCAGGCGTTTAATTTATATCCACTTCTGTGAGGATTCATCTGCTGCTAATTTACTTATATCACAGTAGAGAGATCAAACAAGTAAAGTGATCAGAAGTTAGGCCTCTGGTTCTCCTTGGAGGGTGTAAGGACAAAAAGGAGAAATGCAGCTCCTTGACCCTCTGGCCTGCCACTCTGACCTGCCCTCTGGCCTACCTACCTCCCACTCACTAGCCGGAAGGGAACCACCGCCTGCCCAGGGCCATCGGCTGCACTGACCCTTGACTGCCCCTGCTGTGAGTGAGACAGCATGGCCTGCCCTCATCCAACTGCTGCTCTAGAGGGAGAATGAGACAAGCGGCAGGTCACTTAACACAAGGCAGCTAGAGACACACAAATGACACAGTTTCACAGGTTGCAGTAGCTGGGATAGGCCTTGAAGTCTGGAGGGACTTTCATGTGTAGAGATAAAGGAGAGAGGGTTTTGTAATCTGAGAAAACTGCCAGCAAAAAGTCAGGAAGGCATGTGAACTTGAGTGTGCCTAGGGAATGTCAAGAAGCATTGTCCCTCTCCAATTAGATCACATGCTCCACAAAGGTGAGAAGTACATATGATGAGCCTCAGTGTCCAGCACAGGGTTATGAACCTGGAAGGGGCTTGTGAAGTATCATTTTGGGTGAACTTCTTAAAAGGCAGCACCTTCCCCTGGAGTACTGAGGCAGCTGTGTTGACAGGGAACTGAATTCCTAGTACCTCCATGCTATGTCAGTTATCAATTGATTGCCTCTCAACTGTAAATCCACCCTTAATTGCCCAGCTCCTGATACTGAAGTTAAGCCCTGTAAGCATCTCTTGCCAGCCCCTGATATTAAGCTTTGTCAGTAGAGGGCGCTGAAGAGACATCATACTGCTCATGGGGTTCTCAAGGCAAGAAGACTGAAGTGGTTTGCCATTCCCTTCTCCACTGGACCACATTTTCTCAAAACTCTCCACCATGACCCGTCCGTCTTGGGCGGCCTACACAGCATGGCTCATAGTTTCATTGAGTTAGACAAGGCTGTAGTCCATGTGATCAGATTGATTACTTTTCTGTGATTGTGATTTTCATTTTGTCTGCCCTCTGATGGAGAAGGATAAGAGGCTTATGGAAGCTTCCTGATGGGAAAGACTGACTGAGGTCTGGGAAAACTGGGTCTTGCTCTGATGGGTGGGGCCATGCTCAGTAAATCTTTAATCCAATTTTCTTTTGGAGCTGGAATGTTAGGTCCATGAATCAAGGCAAATTGGAAGTGGTCAAACAGGAGATAGCAAGAGTGAACATCAACATTTTAGGAATCAGCGAACTAAAATGGACTGGAGTGGGTGAATTTAACTCAGATGACCATTATATTTACTACTGTGTGCAAGAATCCCTTAGAAGAAATGGAGTAGCCATGATAGTCAACAGAAGAGTCCAAAATATAGTACTTGGATGCAATCTCAAAAACGACAGAATGACCTCTGTTCGTTTCCAAAGCAAACCATTCAATATCACGGTAATCCAAGCCTATGCCGCAACCAGTAATGCTGAAGAACCTGAAATTGAACGGTTCTATGAAGACCTACAAGACCTTTTAGAACTAACACCCAAAAAAGATGTCCTTTTCTTTATTGGGGACTGGAATGCAAAAGTGGGAAGTCAAGAAACACCTGAAGTAACAGGCAAATTTGGCCTTGGAGTAAAGAATGAAACAGGGCAAAGGCTAATAGAGTTTTCCCAAGAGAACACAACTGGTCATAGCAAACACCCTCTTCCAACAACACAAGAGAAGACTCTACACATGGGCATCACCAGATGGTCAACACCTAAATCAGACTGATTATATTCTTTGCAGCCAAAGATGGAGAAGCTCTATACAGTCAGCAAAAACAAGACTATGAGCTGACTGTGGCTCAGATCATGAACTCCTTATTGCCAAATTCAGACTTAAACTGAAGAAAGTAGGGAATACTACTAAACCATTCAGGTATGACCTAAATCAAATTTCTTACAATTATACAGTGGAAGTAACAAATAGATTCAAGGGATTAAATCTGATAGACAGAGAGCCTGAAGAACTATGGATGGAGGTTCATGANAAAGTTTAACACCAGCTTCTAGGCAGCTTCCAGATGAGATCTGTTGGCACCCCATGGTCAGTTTCCAGCTTGAACTTGACCTCAGTGAACAAGGCTTGATGACTCCAGCCACACCCTCTCCAGTGAGATCTGAATCTCAGTCTCTAAGAGGCACCACTCCCAAATTCATTCCTGTATCACTTACAGTTGTCTTTATTCCTAAGTAGCCAATTCCCTGTCACTAGTTAATACTTCTTTACATTCTGCCTTCCCTGTTAGAATTTCTGTGTGGCTTCTGTCTTCTGATCAGGCCCTGACTGATAAAATGCTCATATACATGCTGTGGGGCTGCACTCCTCAGGCCTGAAAGTCTTGTTATGGCCCAATCTTCAGGCCAAAGAAAGAGCCTGGAAACAGCGACAGAGCTGTTAATATCAATGGTTTGTTCGATAGGGGATCTTACACCCCTGAAGTCAGGGAGGCTACTGTTTATAGGGGGAATTGATGTCAGGTTGGTTCCTCAGTTACCAGGGAAGTCAGCTGCTGGGGTAGAGTCCTCACAGCCCCTTTGGTTAGCAAGCATCATGAGGGTGGACATTTCCCTTTAATAAACTAGCAGGTAGATCTGTTCTGAACTAAGGATTAGAACAATCACTAGTTGGGGCAGGGGGCAAACATGTAGGCAGTTACTGGTTAAGTTCCATGATTAGGAGGTTTGGATAGTCAGGTAAGGAGGAAGCAGGTGAAGCGGGGACTGGTGGAGAAGGGGTCATACAGAGAGCAAGCCATACACATGCCTTCATATACATCATGGCATACACCCTGGGGGCGTGTGTCCTTACATCAGATGCACCCAGCAAATCCTCTGAGCATTTAGGTCTCCTTTTCCTCTTGCATACTCACTGTATATCAGCCAGGGTGCCGTCAGGAAAATAGAAGCTGCTCTCAGTATTTCCAGCAGGAAGGGATTTAATACAGGGACTCTGGTGCTTAAGTCCAGGCTTCACCTGATCCTACCTGCATCAGTAGGGGCAGGCGACTTAGCCTTTCTGAAACTCAGTTACTACTTCTGTGAAGACAGAGATAATCATAGTACCTAACTCACAGGATTTCTCTGAAAAATTACATAAAATGATCCATGAAAAGTTCCCAGTACCTGGTAGATGGTTAGTGCCCGATCATTGTAAACTATTGTTGATGTTACTGTTCAGTCAGTTCAGTAGCTCAGTCGTGTCCGACTCTTTGAGACCCCATGGACTGTAGCATGCCAGGCTTCCCTGTCCATCACCAACTCCTGTAGCTTACTCAAACACCTAAATCACCTAAACGCCTAGCACACCTGAGCTGAAATGTCTCAAAATCCCAGCAGTCTGCAGCTGAGGCAGCCAGAAAGGGAGGAGGACATGTTGGCAGTTGGACATCTGTCCCCAATGAAAGTAAAGGCAACCCCAGATGGGAGAGGGGGCACAGAGGTGGGGGGATGGCATGTGAGGTGGGTATGACCCCATGGCTTAAAGATGCCTACCTGTCTTCAACTAGATTACACAGCCTAAACTTCCTTTGACCCATACTGAACAAACCTCTCTCTTCCACACACTTTTTAAAAATTTTAACTGAAAACATAATATATGCACATTGCTTTTTACAAAACACTATACAGTTAGGAATATCTCTGTCCTACCCCAAACCCTCAATCCCCCCATCCTCCCACCTCAGGCACAGCCATCAGGAACCAGTTTCTTTTATGGTTTTACAGGCATATTCTAGGCATATACCAGTATAATATGTTTTCCTATTTTTAATATACAGGAAAGCACTGCTTTTGCTTTTCCACCGAGTAATATATCTTGGAGAGCATTCCATAATTGCACGAATGCATCTACCTTATTTGTTATTTTTTTCTTTAATCTTATTCTTTTAAACATCTGCATAGTATTCTTGATATGGATACAGCACTAACCAGATTGCTTCTAGTGGAAATTTAGCTTTTTTCCGGTCTTTTGCTATTATAAGCAATGTGTAATACACATCCATGTACACCTGTCTTTCTTTCATTTGACGTAGAAAATTGTCTTACCTCAGAGTTGGAGCCCTAAAGACCATCCAGTGGTCTAGTGTAAACACATCAGGGAAGGAGACGGGAAGCCCGCCTTCCAGCCTTAGCTCAACCACTAACATCCTCCGCACTCGGACACTGATCACTTCATCTCTCTGTGTGACTCAGGCTCCTTGCTTGTCAGGAAGCAATAATTACACCTGCTTTAAATGGCCTCATCAGGCATTCTGAGAATCAAATGAGATAATGGGCATGGAAGTTTGTGAGTGCCATGCTAATATACATACACATCTCTCATCGGGTTATTTGCCAAAACAATTGACACTTTACTATATGAATCTGTCCACCCACTTTCGGCATGGTGCCTGCTGCACCCGGTGGCCCTTCTAAGGGAAGCTGACCGCCCCCCCCCACCACCCTCAGCTACTGCTTAGGAACCACCCAAGGCTGCTGCACACTGTTCTGTATGGCCCTGCCTCCCCATCCCTCCACTTTTCCACTGCCCACCCAGCCGGGCTGGACACCTTTCCAATCTACAGGCTGCCCAGCAACTAGAATGGGAAGCTCTGCCCACATAGAGACAAAGTAGGTCATTCTGATTTCTGCTCTTGGGAAAGTCAACTAGGAAATCATGATGACTAAGACAGTTAAGACAAACACAACACTGAAGGCATAGAGAGAGGTCATGCTGTCAGGGCTGTGAAGGGTTTTTAGAAGCTCAGGTTACAATATGCTGCAATTGGGAGGAAGCAGAAACCTTACATACATTAGAGCTATGAGATAGGGAAAAAAGTGAGAAAGGGTGTTGATTAAAGTGAGAAGACACAGAGAAGCAGAAACATCAGAGCCAGCCAAGTAACAATGACCAAGCACACGAAGGCGCACCAGTGCTGGCTGCTGAAGGCAGCACAGTCCCCAGGGGCGCCCATGTGATCCTGTCTCCTCATTCCCTCAAGAGGCTTTACTATAGCCTCCTTTCTCTGGGCTCAGTGGAGGAGGGGAGATTCTTTTCATGGTGAAGAAGTGCCAGACCAACCCAAGGCTCATGAGAGCTATCTCCCCAGCTTCCTATAGAGTCCCCCAAGGACAGGTATATGCAGTTCTTACCTTGGGACAGGGGAAATGAGAGGGCATCTGGCTTGCTTGGAATATACTGCTTTCCTTAATGAATTCATGCAGTTTCATGGAGGACAACCTCCTACAGAAAGGGCAGGATGGGGAAGGGCAGAGAGCAGAAATGGAAAGACAAATAGATAATAATTATCAGCCAAGACTTTGCTCATGCTGATCCTCTTGCCCAAATCCCACCTGCCCTTCATGTCACCTCTTCCATCAAACCTTCCCCAGCTGCTCCAATCACAGCAGCACCAACCTTCTTCACTACAACAAGAGATTGCTTTATGGGCCCCAACTCTTCTTCCTGCCTCATATCGACACTTTTTTTACTATGTCTTCACAGTTCTTCCCACTAAAAGGATGGAGTACATTTCCCCATCATTCAACTTTGAGTTTGGTCAAAGCCAAAGCCAATAGCATAAGATGGAAGTGATGGTATGCCAATTCCAAGACCTCTTGTGCTTCTCCCATTGCCATGAAAAGAGCATGCCAAGGCCAGCCCACTAGCCCCAAGAAGAGGAAGAAGCTGCCTTGACCAAACCCCCAGAGGAGCCTAGCCTAGATCAGTCAACTCTTAGATGTCTGAGTTAAATAAATGTTTATTGTTGTTACATCACTGAGATTTTATGGTTGTTTGATATACAACTGATACAACTACATTTACCACTTATTATACACTTGAGTACTTGGTGATTTTTAATAGCAGCTCATTAGTCATACATAATTGTTTCTCTGGGCAGGTCTCTCCTAGTTAAGACCATCAGATTTAGCAAATGAAAACACAGGATCCCCAGTTACAATAAATTTGAATTTCAGATAAACAACAAAGAATAATATAAATATGTCCCATGCAAGTTTCAGAATTTATTTATACTAAAAATTATTCATCTAAAATTCAAATTTAACTGGACATCCTTAAATAGATTTATCTGGCAATCCTACTCCTAGTGCTTGAAGCAGGATCAACATCTTACACAATAACTGTGAGATAGTTCTCATGGTCACCATCATAATTCTGGGAGAAGAAAGCCATGGTTCAGATAAAGATTTGCAACAGGGAGTTCCCTGGTGGCCTAGAGGTTAGTATTTGGGGCTTTCACTGTTGTGGCCTGGGTTCAATCCCTGGTTGGGGAACTAAGATACTGCAAGCTGCCTGGCATGACGAAAAAACACGTTTCAAGAAGGTAGCTGTTGAGCACTTTCTTCCCTCCAGTGACAAGCCCTCTTGTAATAGAGATGGTGTGGTTATCATTTTCACAGCCCCTGTGCAGGCAGGTAATGGGCAAAGGCAGTAGCTTAGTTTCACATCAGTGCTACAGGGCAGCACAGTGCTTAGTCGCTTGGTGGTGTCCGTGTCTGACTCTTGCAACCCCATGGACTGTAGCCCACCAGGCTCCTCTGTCCATGGGATTTTTCAGGCAAGAATACTGCAGTGGGTTGCCGTGTCCTCCTCCAGGGGATCTTCCTGACCCAGGAATCGAACCCACATCTCCTGCATCTCCTGCATTGTAGGCAGGTTCTTTGCCCGCTGAGTCATTGGGAAAGCTACAGGGCAGGCGAGTGGGAAAATCCTTATTCCCCTCCACAAATGAGTACACAGAACATCAGAGATGTGAAATAACTTTCCCTTGGACATCCAGCTAGAAACAGTAGCAAACCGAGAATTCAAAACGCACCCCTTTCTCTCTCCATATGCAACCCTGCCTCCAGCTACCAGCAATGTTTTTTGTCATTTCCACAAAACTGAAGACAACAAAGACTATTCCCAAGCACCCAATCTCTTAACTGTTCCCACTCAATGCGTTCAAGGAATAATCGAGGTTGTATCCGTTTGCTAGGACTGCCATAGCAAAGCACCATAGACTGGGTAGCTTAAATGACAGTGGTTTATCTTCTCACAGTTCTGGAAGCTAGATGGCCAAGGTCAAGGCGTCAGCAGGGTTGGTTTCAGCTAAAGGCTGTGAGGGAAGGATCTGTCCCAGGCTTTTGATGGTTAATTTTCTGTGTCACCTTGACTAGGCCCCGGGATGCCCAAATATCTGGTTAGACATTATATCTGAGTATGTCTGTGAGGATGCTTCTAGAAGAGATCAGTATTTGAATTGGTGGACTGGATAGATAGATTACCCTGTTTCAGTGTGGATGGGCATCATCTCATCCTTTGAAGGCCTGAATGGAGGAAAAAGGCAGAGGAAAACTGAACTGACTCTCTCTGCCTGAGATATCAGTCTTGGACCGGGACTTAAACCAGCAGCGCTCCTGGTTACTAGGCCTTCAGACTCAGGCCAGAAGTTATACATCAGCCTTCAGGAGTCTCCCACTTTCTGACAGCAGATCGTGCCACTTCTCAGCTTCCATAATCACCTGAGCCCCTTCTTTATAAGTTCTATTTGAACGTATAAGATGGGGCTCCTGTTGATTCTCTGGAGAACTCTGATATGAGACCTCTCTTTGGTCTTCAGACGGCCATCTTCTCCCTCATCTTCACATCATCTCCTCAGGTGCACATCTGTGTTTAAGTTTCCTCAGTCACACTGGATAAGGACCCACCCTAATGACCTCATTTTAACATAATCACCTCTGTAAAGACCCTCATCTCTTCATGAAGTCACATTCCAAGGTCCTGGGGGCTAGGACTTCAACATATGAATGTGGGGGGTGAGAGGACAAACTCCGGCCCATAACAAGGTTTGTGGAGCTAATTGTGACTCATCTCAATGCAGCCTGCATTTAAAAGAGGAACTTCAAGAGAAGAGACTTCAAATGATGGAATTCTGGATTTCAAGTGGGGGAATTCTAGTTTTCAAAGTGGTCCCTAGGGGTGCCGAAGGCCCACACTGTAGTTCTTCCTAAAAGGCACCTCAAAGGTATCCCACCTTCCTCCAAAGGGGCCCTAGCAACCGGTGGAATGTGTGTTACTATGAGGACAGGCGATTGTGATGGCGGCCAGGCTGTGGAATCTTGTGAGGCCAAATGTTAATGCCCCAAAAAATGTCCTTTGGCCCCAACTGGCAGTGTTGTGGTTTTCTGGATGGCAACAGAGGATAGGGAAATGATGGAAGGCCGAGGGGCAGGAGAAAGTTGCCCAACCTTCCCCAAGATGGCGCCTGATGACCCCATGTCTGAAGGAAAGCCCAGGGCTTCGTTGGTGAGGAGGATGCCTCTTCCCACTTCCCCAGCCCGTCCCGGTGAGGGGGGGAAGAGCACAATGGGGACACCACGAGCTAGGGGCTGAGTGCTAGGAGATTCCAGAGAGCAGCTAAGAGGGGGCTGGCATGCACCCCATCCCCACACTGGCGCCTGGCTGTGTCCAGGGACCAGGGAGCTTTCATAAGATTGTGAAGCCACCTGAGGCTGCCTTTGCTCTCCCCCATCTACCTCTCCACTTCCCAGGTGGCTCATCTGGTAGAGAATCTGCCTCCAGTGTGGGAGACCTGGGTTTGATCCCTGGGTTAGGAAGATCCCCTGGAGAAGGGAAAGGCTACCCACTCCAGTATTCTGGCCTGGAGAATTCCATGGGGTCCCAAAGAGTCAGACTCGACTTTCACACGCACACACACATCTACCTCTCCATGGGTGGGGGGCGGGGGTGGCTGTCTTCCTCCTACAGATGGGGATCCAGGTCCTCGTATACAGAGGTACCCAATGCAGATCCTAGGTTTCTTCCTACCACTGTAACCTCTAGACGACTGGGTATCTAACTGATCCCAAACTAGTTGTGGGGGTGGGGTGAGTCACCTGCAAGCAGCGATTTGAAGATCACCAGGAAGACAGACTTCTACTCAAATACTCCACCACACCCACTTGCAAATTTAGGGCGCCATTCCTCTGTCAGTTTCCCTCTCCATCTTCTTAACTCCCAAGGTCCTGATAACTCCTTGTAAGTTTCTCCTAAGAATTCAGTCTGGATGCTTACAGCTCACAACACACTTTCAAGCGCCCCCGGGGCACTGTGCTTGGGGCTGCGGGTGCACGTGGGGTGGGAGGCGGGGCCGCCCCAGACTGACTCCTCCCATCCCCTCATTTCGGTCTCCCCAGCCCCAGGAGGCCGACACCCCGAAGCCGGAGTCCTCCTACGACTACCTGGAGGAGATGGACACTTGTGAGGACGGAGGCTGCCCGGGGCCACCTAAGTCACTGTCCTCCAAGGCTGGCCCCGCTGCCACTAAAGGACAGGCGGGCGATGGACCCGAACCCGCGGAGCTGCCCTCGGTCCCAGCCACGGCGGCGCCGGGGACCGCAGTGCGAGAGTGCAACGCCGAGATGGAGCTGGAGAAGGTGCGCATGGAGTTCGAGCTCACGCGGCTCAGGTACCTGCACGAGGAGAACGAGCGCCAGCGGCAACACGAGGAGGTGATGGAGCAGCTGCAGCAGCAGGCGACGCCCCGCCTGGTAGGTGACGGGTCCCGCCGGACGCCGGGGCTGCGGGACACTAGGGGTGAGGGGAGCCCGTCGCTGACCTGCACAGGAAGCCTACTTTATCCATCTGGCGGCTGCGTCCCACCCTACCTCCGCTCACGGCTTTAAGAGCTTCCGTGTTAATTAAACTCGGATCCAACTCTTCAAGGAAGATTTGACCCCAGAACCACCTTGTCTACGGTTTTCCTCCTTAGGGAAAACTCAACATTTCTTCTCTGGCTGGATTCCCACCCCTCTCCTCTCTTCTCGGCATCTCTTAAAACAGGATGCCTGGGCCTAGACGGCAGACACCCCCACCCTTCACGGCCCCCCANTGAGTCATCCTCAGTTCTGAGAAACATGCCTTCTGGCTTTATCCGAGTCATTGCTATAATTGTTGAGGAGGATATGACCTAAAGTAAATACCACTAAAAGATCTCCCTACAGGTTAGCAATGTTCCATTAATCAGCACCCTTGAGTTACATTTTCTACAGCTCACATTTCTCTACCTTGTCCAGAAAACTGTACTGATACACACAGTATCAGAATTAAGTTTCCCAGAATTAAGATATTACATGATAGCATTTCCCCAACTGTCTGGTCCATGTTCTTTTTAAAGAAAATTAGGTTGGTTTTGCATGATTTGCTCTCAATGAACACACGCTGGCTTCTTAACAATTATCTTTTGTTTTTCTTGCTCATGAAATACTTGCTTTTTAGTCTGAAAATCTTTCTCCTTGCTGGAGGAGATGGAAATCTTTATAGTCCTATCTGCTCTCTGTCTTAACTTAAAAAAAAGAGACCATTGAAGTGTTTTGAAAAGTCTAAAAGATTTCACAAATGCACAGTTTGTTATCAAAATCACAAATGTCAGTCATTAGAGTGCAGACCACCAACAGTGGCAAAGAGTCTGTGGACACAGAGCCACGCCTGGTCTGCAGAGAAACACAGTATCTGTCCAGCCCTCCACTCCCACCCCAGAACACCAGGTTTCTTCCTCTGGTCTTCTGCCTTCCTTGCCATTCATTTTAGAGGCAGCTTTACTGGAGTCATTTTCTGCCCTCCTCAGTTTTATTTAGTTGCCCTCACATTTTATGTAGTTGTTTCAACAGTATTGTGTCCAAAACCCCACCTTTAACAATATTTTACAAAAGCGTTTTATTTCCTGTGCATTTCCATGAGGAGTTGAGCTGATTTTTAAATTCCCAACTCTCTTTTTCTGGGTGGGTGGGTGAGTAGGTAGACAGTTGTTATTGTATTGAAAAATACCTCTGAATATGTTTCTAGTGAATTCAGAGCATCACCAACCCTACTTACAAAAATACGGCATGAGTTGAAAAGATATTTTAAAGAATGAACCATAGGTGTGATGCCTTCTTAACTGCAGATCATAATAGTTACATCAGCTTTTACTCCACTTATATGTTAATGCTTTCTACAGTTTAATTGGGGATCTGTTTGACCTTAATCATATAGATCCTGGAAAAGAGCAACACACAGGCAGAAACTGACCCTCCCCCACACCCAAGACCCTGAGGGTTTAGGGAGGCCCCATCAACTGTCTACTACCTGTCCACAGGAGAGACACACCCTGGGTTGAAGGATCGCAGCCTGTCCCAATGTGACACATGCCAGCATCCAGAAAATCAGATACAGGCATTTGTGCCCAAGAAATGCCCTCTCATTGGGCCACCATCCAGCAAAAATGGTGGGGCGTCAGGGGAGACCGTCTAGGGAACTAACCCAAGATCCAGTGTCCAGACCTGGGGATCTCTGAGTAGGAGAGAGACTGCCCACATGTGGGACCCACAGGCTGCATGGAGCGTCCAGAGAAAGGAGGGCGAAGGCCAGGCTCAGGAGGGCGAAGGCCAGGCCCAAGAAGTAAAAATGATGAGACCCCTCTGTGCCAGTAGCCTTGCCTGGAATTTTTCATTCTTGTCTCACGCTTCCTCCTCACCATCTTGTGAGGTGGGCACAATTACCCTCACCGTGGGTGAGGAAGACAGCCTGCCTGAGGTCACATTCCAGAAGGGACAAGAGCAGGAAGGAAGCCCAGGTCTGCCTGGTGCCCGGGCCCCGCGTGGTCGCTGCCACTCTCTTCTTTCCCCACAGTTCTCGGGAGGCCTCCAGGACCTCCTGCTTCCCCGGAACCAGTTCGCCATGTTCCTGCACTGCTTCATCTTCATACACGTAATCTACGTCACCAAGGAGATGATCTTCTTTCTCTTCTCCAAGCACTACCTGTTCTGCATTGCGGCCATTTTGCTCTGTTTGATTAAAACTTTATGGTCATACTTCCAAGTGCCTTCGCGCTCTCTCCATCACTGGGCACCTCCTTCCCTCACCTGCGCCCCCCTCCCCCAGTCAGAACTTGCTGTCAGGAAAGGTTTGCTGTCAAACATTTACACCTTAGTGTGAAGAAACCTGACTGAGCCCGAGTTCTCACTGTGGGTGAAGACACTTTGTTTCCCAAGAGGAGGATTTCAGAAGGTAGTAGGTTAAGGAGGCATCTGTAGGGAGAAGGGGTTTAGAAAGCCCTTCCAGAATCACAGAAATTATACCATGACTGGGCTGACTTGGGATCCACTGAATCTGCTCATTTAGACAGATCTTGTCTGAGGTGTGGGGAGCTGAGGGAGGTTCCCCAAAGACGTCCACATCCCAGTTCCCATATGTTACCTTATGTGATTAAAAAAAAAGAAAAAAGACTTTGGGATTAAATTAAGGCCTTGAAATGAAGGAGTGACCCCGGATTATCCAGATAAGCACAGTGTAATCAAAAGGGTTCCTATAAGAGGGAGGCAGGAGGGTGAGAGGCAGAGAACACGTGGCCATGGAGCAGAGTGGGGTGCGATGTGGGACCACAAGCCAAGAAATGCAGGCAGCCTATAGAAGTCAGAAAAGGCAAGAACACGGACTCTTCCCTAGAGTCACCAGAGAAAATGCAGCCCTGCCAAAGCCATTTTAAATTCCTGACCTCCAGACCTGTAAGAGAATAAATGAGTTGCTTTAAGCCACTACATTTGTAATAATTTACGACAGCAGCAAAACTAACACAGGAAACTAATACAAGAGCCAAAACTCTGTAAACTCCTTCCAGCTCTGCAGACATGTCAAGATGGCATCACCATGCCACTGGCCCATTTAACCCTGGCCTGAGCAGGACTGCACTCAGTCCATCACACAGGCCCAGAGCCTGCCCTCAGCCACATGCGATCCAAGAGCAGAGATGCTGAAGCTCCAGGGAGCCTGATCATTGGGCAGTACAGGCCTGGGTGAGGTGGGGGCAGAATCTGGGCATACTCCTAGGGGCCTTGGGAAGGAGGCGCTGATGTCTGATCAGATCCACAACAAGTCAGCAATGCTGCTCTCGTGGAAAAGTAGAAGGAGAGGGGACAAAACCAAACAGGCCACACCGCCCAACCCTCAAATCACACACACACACACACACACACACACACACACACACACAGAGCTAATAGCGGTCTACAATAGACAGGTACACAGATAAGCAGGCAGCAACGACTAAAAGGAACAGACTCTGGGCACTAGAGGGCTCACAGAGGGCACAAATGAAGTGGCCCAATGAGTGTATGTGTTCAACTCCCATATCTCCTACCCCGCCACCCCATCCCCACACACACAGAAGGTTGTCAGCTGCCCGACCCCACCAGCCCCATCTGAGAATGATGGCCAGTGCAGGAGACTCCAAGAATACCACAGCAAGCTGAATGGACACAGCTCTGCAATCAGTCAAGTCTTTTTCTTTTTTTGACTCCTCCTCTTCCTGGATATGAGGCTCTGCTTTAAGAGGAACAAAAGAATACGTTTCTGTCTTGTTGGGCTGAGTGATGCTGAGTGAAAAGACATGAAAAGAGAAGACCACTCTGGGATTTGATGTCAGGACACATTATCATGCTCTTCAGTCCACAGTGACTTCTTACTTTCCACCCAGTTCAATGTGTCCATTCCCATTTATAGCTGCCTGTGGCAGGTATTTACTTGAAGGTAATAAAACTGTCATTTCTCATTAAACTTTCGATAGAATTTTTTCGCTATGGGTCACTTCTCACAATCTCTTAATTTGATCTGGGTTTCTGGGGGGCAAGGATTGAGGCAAAAGAAGGAGAAAATCTTGCTTTATTGACTATACTAAAGCCTTTGACTGTGTGGATCACAACAAACTGTGGAAAATTCTTAAAGAGATGGGAATACCAGACCATGTTACCTGCCTCTTGAGAAACCTGTATGCAGGTCAAGAAACAACAGTTAGAACCAGTCATGGAACAATGGACTGATTCAGAATTGGGGAAAGGAGNGTTGGAGAAGACTCTTGAGAGTCCCTTGGACTGCAAGGAGATCAGTCAATCCTAAAGGAAATCAGTCATGAATGTTCATTGGAAGGACTGATGTTGAAGCTGAAACTCCAATACTTTGGCCACCTGATGTGAAGAACTGACTCATTAGAAAAGACCCTGATGCTGAGAAAGATTGAAGGCAGGAGGAAAAGGGGATGACAGAGGATGAGATGGTTGGATGGCTTCACCAACTTAATAGACATGAGTTTGAGCAAGCTCCGGGAGATGGTGAAGGACAGGGAAGCCTGGCATGCTGCAGTCCATGAGGTCACAAAGAGTGGGACATGACTGAGCGACTGAACTGAACTGAACTGAAGGAGGAGATCAGATATCAAAAAGATTAAGGTCCAGATGTTTAATCTGCTAGAGCAAATAGAATTGAGAGTTTGAAAAAAAACAAGTGCTATAATACCATTTATTTAATCAGCCTGTTGCCAGGTAAAACTAGATTAAATACACCCATTTTCCTTATAAATCTTTAGAGAAAGACTGAGTAAACTTTCAGTTGTTAGCATCTCTTCTCACCCCCTTAGCAATGGGCATGAAATCTCCCTTCTGTCCCTCCTCCTACTCTGATAGAAGACCAGAGCAGTAAGAGAAGATGTGCCTTCAGTAAAAATGAGAGCAACTCATGGTCACTCCCCAAACTTGATAGGGAAATCAGAAGGAAGCGAGAGAGAAAAACAAAGAGAGATGAAAGGGATAGAAAAAGGCACAGCCTAGAGTTACCAAGCAGGCAACAAGGCAACACACAAGCCCTTCCGGAGCATCTCCAATGTGCCTGGTACTTGGTTACATGCTTTATGGAGGCCTGGGAGATAGACATGTATATCATCCCCATTTCACAGACAAGGATACTGAGGCTCAGAGAGGTTAAATGATGCGCCCAAACCACCTGAGATCTCAGGTCTGACTCCAAAACACATGATCTTTATATACTTATCTGAGATCTCAGGTCTGACTCCAAAACACATGATCTTTATACACTTACACACTCCTAAAATCCTGCCTTGGAGGATTTCACAGCCTTGCTGGGGAGATGCAGCTGATACACACTAAAGTGTAAAGAAACTATCAGGCACATAGACCTCAGTGATGAAGGAGATTAAATGAGAGGGCCCTCGAGTACAGGATGATCGGAAGTCTTCTCAAAAGAGCAGCTCACAGGGGCCGGTAAGCCTGGGACAGGTAGAAAGGAGCAGGGAGAACTCACCTGAATTCAGACCAGTGTGCGATCTTAATTCAAAGAAAGGAGTAGGCTCATCCTCGCTCTGATGAATAATAACATACCTGGAAAAGTGATTTGGAACCAAATTTTATAGTTTTGAACGTTGGTCTGAGGAATGTGAACTTAATCTCCTAGGAAGTAAGAAATGTTCAAACTACTGTGCTGTTGCATTTATTTCACATGCTCAAAATCCTTCAAGCTAGGTTTCAGCAGTACATGAACCAAGAACTTCCAGATGTACAAGTTGGACTTGGAAAAGTCAGAGAAACTGGAGATCAAATCGCCAACATTCATTGGATCATGGAGAAAGCGAGGGAATTCTAGAAAAACATTTACTTCTTCATTGACTATGCTAAAGCCTTTGACTGTGTGGATCACAATGAACTGTGGAAAATTCTTAAAGAAATGGAAGTACCAGACCACCTCACCTGTCTCCTGAGAAATCTGTATGCTGGTCAAGAAGCAAAAGTTAGAACCAGACATGAAACGATAGACTGGTTCAAAACTGGGAAAGGCTGTATATTATCACTTTGCTTATTTAACTTATATGCAGAGTACATCATGTGACATGCCAGGCTGAATGAATCACAAACTGGAATCAAATCTGCTGGGAGAAACATCAACACCCTCAGATATGCAGATAATAGTACGCTAAAGGCAGAAAGTAAAGAACTAAAGAGCCTCTTGATGAGGGTGAAAGAGGAGAATGAGAAAAGCTGGCTTGAAACTCAGCATTTAAAAAAGTGAGATCATAGCATCTGGTCCCATCACTTTATGGCAAACAGAAGGGCAAAAAGTTGAAGCAGTGACAGATTTCATTTTCTTGGGCTCCAAAATCACTGTGGACAATGACTGCAGCCATGAAATTAAAAGAGGCTTGCTCCTTGGAAGTAAGCTATGACAAACCTAGACAGTGTATTAAAAAGCAGAGACATCACTTTGCCAACAAAGGTCTGTAGAGTCAAAGCTATGATTTTTCCAGTAGTCATGTACAGTTGTGAGAGTTGGACTATAAAGAAGGCTGAGCGCTGAAGAATTGATGCTTTCAAATTGTAGTGCTGGAGAAGATTCTTGAGAGTCCCTTGGACTGTAAAGAGATCAAATCAATCAATCCTAAAGGAAATCAACCCTGAATATTCACTGGAAGGACAGCCGCTGAAACTCCAATACTTTGGCCACCTGATGAGAAGAAACACCTCTGTGGAAAAGCCTCTGATGCTGGGAAAGACTGAAGGCAAAAGGAGAAGTGGGTGGCAGAGGATGAGATGGTTAGATAGCATCACTGACTCAATGGACATGAATTTGAGTAAACTCCAGGACATAGCAGAGGATAGAGGAGCTTGTCCATGGGATCACAAAGAGTCAGATACTACCTAGTGAATGAATAACAATAATAGTGACCCTCCCCCAAAAAGGGGAAATTCTTCACCCATCCCCTCTCCTGGGGACCATGTTCTTACCTTGACCTTCTCTTCCCATTTCCAGTCTAGGAACATTCATTCTAACGTCCCCATGTGAGGATTGCATTTAGCTGTAAAAGAAACCCAGTCACAGTGGCTTAACAAAGTAGGAGTTTACATGTCTCAGACACTAAGAAATCCCTGGTAAGGCAATCCGTGATGGTGAAATTTCTCTAGGAAGTCATAGAGAACCCAGTCATAAAGGACCCTTCTTTTCATTCCACCATCCTTAGCATATGACTTTTATCCTGCTCGCTTCATGGTTTTTAGCCTCATAATATCAATATGCCTGCCGTGGCTCCAGGTATCAACTCCTGTTCAGCAAAGGGGGAAAAGAAAT